GCGGTCCCTGGTTCCCTGACGAGAGTGGGATGGGCGGGGCAGCTCGGTGGGAATGGGAGGAAGGAGGGCACCACCCCGTGGGCCCCCCCACGCCTCCCAGCTGTGCCCACGGAAGCACCGGCCAGCCCGTGACAGAGCAGGGCGGGGGCTCCAGCGAGAGGGGCTCTTGGACAAGACTTTTCTGGGTGCCGGGAGCCCCTCCGGGTGGCGGTGCTCAGAGCCACCCTGTCTGGCAGTGGGGGGGGAGGGGGTGGAAGGCAGCCCGCTCCTAACCGCAGCCCCCTTTCCTGCTGACTGTGCCCCTGGGACAGGACTGCGTGTCCCTGCCTCCCCAAGGCCCCGCTGGCTCTGCATCTGCCCCCGCCGGGCAGCCCTCTCAGTGCCCGCTGCTGCTCGAGCAGGTGCAGAGTCAGTGACGCTGAGACAGTGGCTCCTGCTCCGACACCAGTTCTGGGCCGGGCACTGCAGCCGGTGTTCTGTCCACACACTCGTTCCCTGACTCGCTGAGTCATTCACTCAGCACCAGGGGAGCATCTCCCCTTTGACCTTGGGGCTGGGACACACCAGGGACAAGGGTGAAAAAGGGTCTCCTAGAATAAAAACGAAGGTGACAGGAGCTGGAAGGACACAGGCAGGAGGCAGAAGGGACAAGGTGCTGGCCTGGCCTTGCCCTGGACCACGCTGGCTCCCTGCAGTGTGCAGGGTGCGAGAAACGCCCCGTGGGCCTCTGGGCTGCTCCCTACCTGCCTCTGCTCAGTGCCCGCCCCCGGGGTCCTGACCCCGCTGCAGACAGCCCTCCCCTGAGCTCGCCGTGGCCCTTTCACCTAGCTCTGGCCACCTCCCCCTGTGGGGGCAGGGGTCATCCCCACCTTGCCTACACTGGTGGGACTGCACTGCATTTCGTAATAGGCTGAGCCTCCCCCACTGGAGACAGCAGTGGGGGCCCAGCTCCACACATGGGGTGGGGACACAGGGTCCCCAGGGTCGCTGCCTGCCCTGTTCCCTGGACACGGGCTCCTGATGGAGTCTGGAGCCCCAGGTGGCCCCAGCTCGTTGCCTGAGGCAGCCTCAGTGTACCTGTGGGCGGCTACCCACAGGGGGTCTCTTCTGTCCCTCGTCCCTCGGGGATGCCTTTCTCCTGGCTCAGCTGGAGACTCTCTGTGGTGTCCTTTCCAGCGAGGGTCTGCCTCAGGCACAGTGCTGGCCTTTCCCAGTTTGGTTTCTCCTTTGGACGCACGTCTCTAATGAGCCAGCCCCAAGAGGCCTCACGCACATTACCTGCAGTTCCGTTTTGCCAAGTGCATCTCAAGTGCACAGACAGGCAAGGCTGGATGTACATGGGGCTGGGCGGGGCACAGGGCTGGGTCCTGCCCGCCTCTGCCGCCGGCTCACCTGCGGCCCCAGGCCCTCCTCTCTGGCCCCTTTCTGGCCAGGCCCGCTGCTGGCGAGGAGGGACTGGCTCTTGGAAGCCCCCACCCCCCAGCTGGCTTTGGTTCACTGGGCCTTTCCTTGCCGTTAAGACAGTGCCCCCTCCCAGCAGGAGACCTGGACATTCCCTGGAGGGTAGAGAGGGCTGTGTCCCTGGGACCAGGAAGGAAGGGGGCGCATCTGAGGGTCTGCCTGAGCCTGCTGGGCAATGCAGGTGGCCAGGCTGGGTACCCAGTGTCTGGCTTGGGCACACAGGGCTCACCTCGGCTTGCTTTTGTTGGCTCTGGGCCTCCTGCCGCACCTGTCCCAGCTCCTGCATGGTTCTGAAGAGTTCTTCCCTCAGCAGCCTCCTCTCTTCTTCTTTCAGTGACAGGGCCTGGCAGGATTTAGTGGGGGGGGGGACATGCTTGTGAGGGTCAGGGGGCCTCCACAAGGGGAGGCTGCAGCAGAACGCTGGGTGCTAAAGCCTCTGCCAGGACGTGTTGTGTTCTTGATTCCACATCCCTGCTCAGGGAGGGGCATCGCTCCAGAGGCAGCCCTTGTCCCGAGTCGGGTCAGTGGGGCCTTTTTACTGTCTGCATTGGTCCAGCTTCCATGCCCGTGCTCAGTTCTCTACACACTGGCTGGCTGATCAGGTGGGTGGATGGTCAGACACAGAGATGGATGGTGGATATGGATGGACAGCTGAGTGTGTGGATGGAGGGAAGGATGTTTAAGTGAATGGATGGACAGATGGTCAAGTGAGTGGTTGCATAGATAGATGGTCATATGAATGCATGAATGGTTAAGTGCACGGATTGTTGATGGATGCTTAAGGAAATTGACGGATAGATGTATGGTTAGGTGTGTGAATGGAAAATCGGGTATGTGGATAGACGGTCACGTATGTGGGAGGAGAGCTAAGTGTATACATAGAAGGATGGATATTCAAATAAATGGATTGATGATGACAAATGGAGGGACAGTCAAGTGCATGGATGGATGGATGGATGGATGGATTGGTGGATGGATGGATGGATGGATGGATGGACGGATTGGTGGATGGATGAATGGATGGATGGATAGATGGATGGATGGATAGATGGATGGATTGGTGGATGGATGGATTGGTGAATGGATAAGTAGGTGGGTGGATGTCTGTCGACTGGGACTGCTGTGAAGACTGAAGCTTCAATAGCAGTGATCTGGAAAGGTCAGCCCTCTTTGTGGGTCAGAGAAAGCATGGTGAGGTGGAATGTGAGGGTCCCCCACTGCCTCACGGTCCACCATCACCTCTTGCATCTCATTTTCCAATTGGAGGAGACTCTCATCCCGCTCATGCTTTAGGCTCTGAATTTCCTCCTTCAGAGCCTCCCTCTTGGCCGCATTCTTTGCTACCAGCTTCTTCTCCTGTTCCAGCCAGTGAGCTGCCACTTCCTTCTCCTCCGTCAGAGACAGACTCAGGGACTCCTGGGCCAATGCAAAAGAACAGGCTATGAAGACTGCGTAAGTCAGGACACGGGAGGCCAGCGGGTACCCGTAGTCCTGAGTGAGACCCGGTTCATGGGACGTCAGGACAGGACAGGACCCCAGGAATGGCCACTCCAGTCAGCTAAACACCCTTTGTCTCACACATGACATTAAAGCAAGAGCTGGGTCTCACCACCTGCCATCCCTATGTAGTGGCCCATATACCTCTCCCAGCCCCCACATTCAGAAGATGTGTAACATGTTAAACAAGACCTCGCAGGGGCCTGTGGCCAGTGGGACAGCTTAGCGGGAGGAGGGAGTTCCCTCCGGCTACCGGCCCTCGGACTGCAGCCAGGCCAGCCAACCCGAGGTCTGGCCCCTTCTGTGGGGGAAAAGACCCCCCCCTGCACAATGCTCCAGGCCCTGGACCGCCCACGTGAACTATTCGAGTCCTCTGGGTGCGGCCCCGGTATGGCTGGGGCACCTCTCGCCTGGCTGGTCTCCTAAGCTCCCTCCCCCATGTGTCTGCTGGCTTTTGGGACATGGCAGTCTCCTGGGAAGTGACCACGCAGCAGCGGCCCAACGGAAGCAGACCTTCTCCCTCTGGAGCCGAGCCAGGTCCTCGTGGTGGGCCAGCGCCTGGCTCTCCAGGGCCAGCTGCAAGTCCCGCTCTTGCTGTGCCACCTGCCGCTGAAGCCTCCCCACGTCCCACTGCAGCTTTGTCTCCTGGACCTCCCAGGCACTTCTCAGCTGCTGCATTTCCACTGTGAAGTGACAGAGGCATCAGGGACCGGCCACAGGGCCCCCACAGCATGGAACCCCTGTGGCCCTCACAGACTCCCTGTGGAGTGATGGCCCCATGGGGTGACAGCCACCTGCTTTGAGGAGGCTGCCAGAGCCAGTGGGACAATGCACTCCATGCCCCACTGCAGTGTATGTCCTAACTGTCACCCTGTATTGGCTCTGGCCAGGCCCACACAAGGCAGGGGCGCTGGGCAGGGAGCACGGGGCCTGGGCAGGGAGCACGGGAGCTGGGTAGGGAGCCACCATGCTGACCCTGTGGCCGCAGCCCAGTTCTGCGCCTGGGCCCGGCACTGAGAGCAGGCTGTGCAGGTGGCCGGCCCTCCTAGACAACAGTGGCATGACCCGATCAGCCACGTGAGCTCCAGGCCTGTGTTCGTGTCCCTTCAGGGGACTGGGGAGTGTGAGCAGCACACCTGGGGACTGAGCTCCACTGAGGGGAGAGAGGAGCAGAGAGAGCCTGCCCGAGGAGCACCTTGCAGGGTCTGCCGAGCGAGCCGCATGCTCCGGGCCTGTCCCTCCAGCTGCTCCCGCTGTGCCTGGAGCTGCATCACCAGCTGCTGGGTCTCAAAGAGGCTTCTCTCCAGAGAGTCCCTCTCAGCCCTGCAGAGTCATCAGACAGTGGAGCAGGTCACCCAGGCGGTCCTGCTGATGAGGGACGGTGCAGAGTCCTTTAGCTAGATAACGGACCAGTGCCCACCGAGGCTGGGCTCATCAATCAGAAGATAAACAGAATGAACATCTCATTCCTTTTTTTTTAACTCTTTTTTTTTTTTAGGTAGGCTCCACGCTGAATGTGGGTTTAACCTCACGACCCTTGGATCAAGAGTCGTGGGATCTACCAAGAGCCAGCCAGGCATGGCCCATCATTCATTTGAAATCTCTAAAACCAAATTAGGCCCTGCACAAAATAATCTTTCAGGTGGATTAAAAAGCTAAATGAAAAACAAAACAAAACAAAGCACAACAACAAATAAACAACTTGGAACTATAAAAACCATAGAAAAAATAGAGAAAGGTATTTTATAAAGTTTGTAAGCAAAACACAAAACCGAGAAGACAAAAATAAAGAGGCCAGCAGATCTGAATACACTTAAAGGGGTTGGGGGCTTATGCAGAAAGATTTCACCAACCAACTTAAAAGACAAGGGACAAAGAGTTAATATCCAGCATATGCAAAGAGCTCCTACGAATCAATGACAGAAAGTCAGCTGATCCTACAGAAAAATGAGAAAAATGACTGTTATTCACAAAGAAAACGCAAAGGGGGAATGAACATATAAAGTTTGCTCACCCTACTGGTACTCAAGGAGATTCAAATGACAACCGTGTGGTGTCATTGACCACGCACCAGATTGACACAACTTTAAATAATGTTTATATTCAATGTTGGCAAGGGTGCGAGGACCATTTTCTTTGTGGAGGGGAGGCTAGGAAACTTCAAGATTTAAAGCGTGCCTATCTTTGAGCCAGCGATTCCACTCCCTAGTGTCGGTTCTTTAGAAATACACATGAACCAACTACACACGTACAAGGATGCTCACTGCAGCCTTATATTGCACACTAACTGGACGTGGCTTCCATGCTGATAAGTGGCAGAATGTTCTAGAAATGACGGTGCATCTAGTGGGTTGTTATCGAGGGCGAGGAAACTCTCTTCTCTGATCTCTGAGAAGCAACGTGTCAGAGCGGAAGGGCACGCCCAGCGTCCACCGCGTACGAAAGCTGCCGCGGTGTCTCTGTGCACGCAGACACAAATGTGCAGAAAATACCTGCAACTCAGAACAGCGTTCATTCCCGGCGAGGGGGGTGAAGTGGCTTGAAGGAGTTGTCAGAAGACAACCAATCAGCCCACCGGTCGTCGACCAGCCAGCGAGCACGTTGTAACCGATACTGTGCTTGGCCCCACGCGAGGTGTTTACGGTGAAAACATCTGCCAACCAAACAGCACACGTGCACACACCACACCACAGACACACAAAAATACTCACGTGAGCACACGAACGGCAGACACACATCCCCACACAAATCGATGGGTCGGGGAGGGCCGTGGGCCCTGGGGGACCCTGCTCACTGCTGCCACCTTGGTGGGGGGGTTGGGCGTGTCGGCACCGTCCAGGGCTCGCTCTGCCTGCAGAGCCCAGAAACTTCACTCCTCTGATGTCCCCAGTGCCCCCTTCCAGTCCCCATCCTAGTGAGCTCCCCACGTTCCCTGCTCCCCGCTTCTATGTGAACAGACGGCAGCGGGGGCTGCCTCGGATGCCCTCCCCGACACCTCGAACCCACTTCCTCCCAGACAGCAGCCTGGCCCCCTCTGGGAGGGGCGGTCTCTGCCGCTCAGACACTAGAATGTTCTTTCGCCCCAGAGCCTGGGAATCTAAGGGTGTGCCCGGTCTCTCCTTCCTTGGGAGCCCAAGAGCACCTCAGCCTCCTGGAGCAGAGGCCCGGCGTGACCAGCGAGGGCGCAGGCAGACATCCTCCATCCACCTCTCCGGGTGCCGAGTGAGCCAGCAACCCCTCAACTGGGCATGCGTCCCTAGCGCTGCAGCCCGGTCAGGGCCTGGGTGTGGGGGCTGGAGGAGCTTGAAACCCGGGGTCCTCTGTCATCAGCCCACCACGGAGAGGCAAAGAGCTGCCGCAGGACTTCTCGCACCTGGTGGTTATCAATGTTACCCGGGAGCTCATTAAAACCACAGTGGCCAGACCCTCCGGCCCATGGAGCCAGCCAGACACCTACCATGGGAGCTAGGCGGCACCCTGTGCCAGCATATGTGATTTCAGGACAAGCCCCCAGCAGCCTTGTCACCGGAAGCTCAGACCGGTCACTGCAAAGTGCTGTTTAATGAGCAGGTGACTGTCTGGGGCCACAGGGCTGCCCAGTGATTGGGGCAGAGCCTACGGGGAGGACCCTGGGCTGCCACGGCCTCTGCCCAGACTCTGCCCGTGATCTGGGCAGCAAATAATGACAGGTGACAGGGGCCCTCCAACCCCTGCTTGTCTGAGCACCCGTGGGGCCTGGAAGGGGGCGACAGGCAGGGACCCTCTGCTCCTGCTGACCCGGAGCAGGCCTTTGTTAGGTTTTCTGTTCCTGTTTCTGTGCGAACTTTCATTTGCAAAAGAGGTTTGTCTGTGAGGATGTTCAAGGACCTGGGACTCAAGGGTTCTGGACCCCCAGGTTCTGGAATTCCAGGAGGAAACCTTTTCTACAAAAATACTTAGATGTTCCCAAGAGAGCCCACAAGTTTGGTGACAGAAAGCAACCAGCTTTTGGATTGCTGCAGAGGCCATGGGACCAGCTCAGCTTACCAGGTGACAGCCTGAAGGGCACCCCCGTTCTCACCTACAAGTGCCTATTTCACGTCTTCTGGAAGTGGCCCCTGCTGATTTTTGAAGCTCGCTCTGGCCCTGCCCTCAGCCTATGGTTCCCTGGAGTTGACACTGTGCCTGGCTTCAGGGATGGGTATGTGACCCCAGCCTGTCAGTCTGAGCCTTACGACTCCCAGGACCGGTTCAGGGATATCAAATGGCTCAATATGGCCAATGGCAGCAGCTTTTGGGTTTTTTGGGGGAGGAGGACACTGTGTCTGCTGGAGGAGGGAGCCTGGGGTGGCCACTGACCATTTGCCACCTCGCACCCTGACTCTGCCTGAGAACAAAGTCTCCTGAGTTAAGTAGCACTGAGCAGGGAGAGGCAGGATTCTGACAGCACTGTGGGAGCACCTGGATCCAGCCTTGCCTGAAGCTGTGTGTATCTTGAACTTAAATTCCTTGAGCAGGACATCCCATGCCTTCCTTCTGCCGGTCTGGACTGGGTTTCTGGCACTTGCTATCTGGCCAGTGTGGCCACCTCTCTCAGGAGGGCCATCCCAGGACTCTCACTGGATTCAATTCTTCTAGATGCTCCTCTCAGCCAGGCTCTGTGTCTGCCCTTCATTCACAGCCTCTCTCCCATGTAGACATAACATTGCCCTGCCCTACAGTCGCCGAGTGAGTTCCTGTCCCCTGCCGCACTGCGGGCTCTTTGAGGGCGAGGCCGTGTGGACAGACCCTGCTGGTAGGGCCCCAGGTACCTGAGCTCGGCCGCCTCCTCAGCCGTGAGCCGGACCTGCCTCTCCAGGGCCTCCTGCTTGGCCAGCAGCTGGGCCCGCTCCTCAGACAGAGCCTCCTTCTCCTGCAGGGTCCTCTGCAGCGTGTCCTGCTGGGCCTCCCGGTCCTGCAGGCTCTGGGCGAGCTGCTCCTCCAGGGCCTGCTTCTTGCACGTGATCTAGAGGAGGGGGAAGGGACAGTCCAGCAGGGAGTGGGAGGGTGAGGGGGGCCCTCTCAGGGAAAAGAAGCGATTTTGTGCAGAATGGCAAGGAGGGAAGGGTGGGGAGGAGGGTGGGCATAAGACGAATTGGACCTCAGAAGTACGTGTGTGTTCACAGCAGAGGGGCCCCGGTGCCTATAGCCACGATGGAGGTGTCCCTGAACCGAGCACTCCCAGGAAGGAGCCAGCTGCCAATCTAAATGGCAACCCGGGTCGACCCACAAGGGTCCAGGGAGCAGGAAACATCACACAGTGATGGCCATAGAAAGTGGCGGGGGACCTGGTTGCTGCAGACCGACACTTCCATCAAGAGCATCACAGGAACCTGGACGGAACATAACACAGGAATCTGCACAGAGCTTCTGAGAGCTGCCGAGGCAGCTGGGACCTCAGAGGAAGGGACACAGAGGAACGAGGTATCTCTTCTCTGCTCAGAATTTGATTTAAAAGTTTTGGCTGAGAAGTTGAGAAGCCAAGGAGAGCTTCTGACAGCACTCTGGCCTTAGGGAAACAAAAAACTCAAGCTCAGAGCCATCCTAGCAGAGGGGCCCGAACAAACACTGCGGCTCTGAGTTGTATTCGCTGCAGGACTTCACCCTGGTAGTGGTGGTGAATCGGAAGTAGACCATCTCTCATAAAATCTGAAGCTCGGTTTGAATCCCTTCAACCAGGGACTATGGTGATCATCTACCTTCACTTCTTGCCAGGACCAGAGCAAGAAGAACAGTGTCATCAAGATCCCCAAGTTATTTCTACAGTTTTTTTTTTTACCTGAGATATTTAGCATTTAATCAACATTACCAGGCATATCAGGAGATAAGATGATATGGCAGGAAAAAAAAAATAATATAAACACGGATGCCTCCCTGACCCCTTGGGTACCCAGATATTGGAGTTGTCAGACACGGAGTTTAAAATAGCTGTGACTAAGTGTTCAAGATGATGGATGGCAAGATGCAGAACTTCACAACAGAACTAGAAACTAAATATAAATGATATAATTTAAAAATACAATAAGCAAAATTAATAAATGTATGAGTTCAATGCCAGCTTAGATGGAAAAGAGAACTAATAATCTGGAAGATAGACAAAAGAATGTGTTCAGACTGAATCATGAAGAGAAAAAAGGAGGAAGAACACAGAAGAGAGTGTAATAGACTTATAGGACAAGGTAAAAAGGTCCAACATACGTACAATTAGAGTCACAGAAGGAAAGGAGAGAGAATATTTGAACAGACACTGCACAAGAATTTCCCAAATCTAATAAAATACATCAAGCCACAGATTTAAAATGAGCCACAATCCTCCAATAGGATAAGGACAAAGAAAACAGCACGTAGAGTATACTAAAGTTTCTGAATACCAAAGATGAAGAAATATATCTTTTACAATCAGGGGAAAACACACATTGCCTTAAAATGAGCAACAGTAAGACTGACATTTGACTTCTAAACAGCAACAATGAAAGTCAGAAGATGGTGGATGAATTCATCAAAATGCTGAAGGAAATAATGGCCATCCTAGTATTCCATGGCCGGTAAAAATATTCTTCAAACATAAAGACCAGAACTTCCTGCTTCTGTAATGATGAGGGAGGTTGTTAAAGACCCACCCTCCCACCTGGAACAGATAGAAAATCTATACGATGTATGTCTAATATAACTGAGGGCATAAGAGATGCCAAGTAGCCAAGAGCCAAGGAGACATGTATCCAGCTGAGCCCAGCGCTTCATCACATATCTTCCTTGAGGTATTCTCCAGATCCCAAGTCATGCAAGGCCCAGAGCCTTAGCAGCCATGCATAAAGCCTTGGCTAAAAGTCTGGGAACTTGGCTTATGGTTTCAATGGGCTTATAAGATCAGGGAGACCTAACATGTCATTCAAAGCTACCAAAGCAGCTGGGGTTTGAGAGGAGAAAACAGAAAACATCAGAAAGGAGGGGAGACTCAGATTCTGTATTGTTTTTTTTTATTGCTTTTTTTTTTTTTTTAATAACTCCCAAGAAGTACAGGGTCAAGGGACCATGAATGTGAATGAGAAATGGCAGGTGAGAGTCTGAGAAGTCAGGTAGAACTTTGGGCAGTCTTACAGAACTGAGAAACAAAATCTGCAGTTAGGGCTCACCAAAAGATGGAGGCCCTGGTCAACACCCCACACTTGCAGCTAGGAGACAAGAGAGCTATGTTATACTCCAGGGTGCACGGGAAATAGATTGCTCCTCACAAAAGACTGAACCCCAGTTACAAACCAGCTTGATCCAAGACTGTATAAAACTGATCTTCCCCTGCTTTGATTTCCCAAGATCAAAACAAATTCCCTCTGGAAAAAGTTGGTATCATTCAGAGCCTCAAGTTATCCCTACAAAAACATAAAGTCTTATTCAATATATTCTATTATGGATAGCAGCAGGCAAGACAAATGACTGAAAGCCAAGAGATGAAAGATAATAGAAAGAGAGCCATTAGGGGATCTAGATGATGGAGTTATCAGAAAAAGACTTGAAAAAGATTACATTTAATATACCTATGCAGATAAAGAATTTTGCCAGATAACTGGAGTGCATGCATGTGTGTGTGTGTGTGTGTGTGACTGTTTAAAGCAAAAATTTTAATAATATATGGTAGGGTTTATAATAGCACAGGTAGAAACAAAATACATAGCGTGAAGAGCACAAAGGATGAGAGGGGTAAATGTAATACATTGCCGGGAGGGTCTTAAATTGTTTTTGAAGTAGTAAAATATTATTTAAATATGAACAATGTATATCATAATTTTAGAGGGATTACTAAAATAATAAGGAAAAGAACTATAGCTTAGAAACATCAACAGACAACACAAAATGCAATTCTACATAAATACGTAACTAACTCAAAAAAGGCCAGAAGGGAGGAAAGTAAAATGTTTTTTTTTTTAATGAGACAAATAGAAAACAAATACCAAGAAAAAAAATACAAAGATGTTTCAGCCCAACATATCAATGGTTACACTAAATGTAAATGGTACAATCACTCCAACTAATTGGTAGAGACTGTCAGAGTAACAATAAAAGCAAGACCCAATAATATGCTTTTTATAAGAAACACACTTTAAATACACAGAAACAGACAAATTGAAAGTAAATGTATGGAAACATATACAATGAAAACACTTAGCACGACAAAACTGGTATGGCTAAATCAATATCACAAAAAGTAGGTATCTAGAAAAAGAGATAAGAGGGAATGTTTTATAACAATGAAAAGTTAACGCATCATGAAGACATGAACTACTTAATGTGTATACACCTAATAATAGGAATTCAAAACATGAGGCAAAAATGGACAGGACTAAAGGCTGAAATAGACAATCCGACAATCATAGATGCAGATTTTAATGCCCTTCCAGCACTAATGATTAAAACAAGGGGACAAAAACAACCAGCCAAGTAAAACATATAAGACAAACAAACAAACCCCAAAACAGTGAGGACATGGAAATTTTAAAGAATACTTGACCTAACTGATATTCACAGACTCTCCATCCACCAGTGGCATGGTGCACACCCTACTCACATGAGCATGGGATGCTCAACAAGATACGATGGGCCATAAAACGTGCCTCAGTATATTTAGATCTATTCAAATAACATGGAGTATGTTTTCTGACCACAACGGAATTATATTAGAAATGGGTAATAAGTAGGTATTTCCAAACACAGGAAAATCCCCTGTTTGGGAGTTAGGCAATATACATCAATAAGCCACAGGCCAAAAGAGAAGTCACACGGGGAATGAGAAGATAGCTTGAACCGCACGGTAGTGAAGGTACAGAGAGCAGAGGAATGCTACATTTGTTTCAGAACTTGAATTCCTTATCAAAATTCTCACAAGGGAAATGTCAGACTGAAATGACTTCACTAGCAAATTCTACTAACATTTAGGGAAGAAACAACACCAATGTCAAAACATGTTCAAGAGGTAAATAAATTTCCCAACTTCTTTTGTGAGTCCCTGGTTCCAAAACTGAGAAAAACACTATGAGAAAAGAAAATCACAAATAGTCCTCATGAATATCAATGCAAAAATCCTTCACAAAATGTTATTAAACTGAATCCAAAAATATATAAAAAGGCTATTAACTTATGGCCAAGTAGGCTTTATCTCAGGTATGCAAGGTTGTTGTGACATTAAAAACACGAGCCCCTATAATCCACCACATTAACAGAATGAGGAGAACAATGATATTATCACTTTATAAAATAAAAGCAGTTAAAGGAATTCAAGATTCAGGGCATCTTGGTGGCTCAGTCAGTTGGGCGTCCAACTTCAGCTTGGGCCATGATCTCATGGTTCGTGGGCTTGAGCCCCACGTCGGGCTCTGTGCTGACAGCTCAGAGTCTGGAGTCTGCTTTGGATTCTCTGTCTGTCTCTCTCTCTCTCAAAAATGAATAAGTATTTTAAAAAAATGTTAAAAAAATTCAAAACTCATCTAAGATTAAAAAAACAATCCTGTCATCACACTAGAAATGAAAGGGAACATCCTTAGTGTAATAAGGGGGATCCGTGAAAAGCCGACAGAGAACATCATCCATGATGGTGAAAGACTGAATTCCTTCACCGTGACTGGGATCAGTGAAAACATGGCCACTCTCACCATTTCTTTTCAACTTTGTGCTGTGGCTCTTTAGTCAGTGCATCAAGAGAAAAAGAAATAAAAGTCACCTAGATCAGAAAGAAAGTAAAACTATTCTTTTTTTGGCTATTCACAAATGCCATGATTATGAGCATGTAAAAGCCTGGCACTCATGAGTGACTTTGTCAAGGTCGCATGACTTAAAATTCCTAGATGAGACTGTATCCCATACACTAGTAATGAACACCAGAAAAATAAAATTAAAACAACAAGGCAATCACAATATCAAGCTCAAGAATTAATGTAATCAAATGTGTGCAAGACCCCTACACTGAGCACAAAACACAGCTGAGAGAACCAAGTAAAGAAAGAGAGATATTCCACATTTTCGTGGATGGACACCTCAATGTCGTGAAGGTGTCCAGTCTTCTAAAACTGACCTATGGCGTCAACACAATCCCAATCAAGGACCTAGGAGGGTTTTGCGGGGGACAAAAATTCACAAGCTGATTCTGAAATGCATGGATATGTAAAAAAAATTAGAGCAGTGAAAACCATTTGAAAAGGAAGAATAAGACTGGAGGAGTCACACTACTTAATTTCAAGACTTACTGAAAAGCTACAGTAACCAAGACAGGGTGGTTTTGGGGAAAGAAGGAACAGATTGATTTGTACCGATCGACAATCTGATCTGTGCACATACACACATATATATGATCGATTTACTTTCAACAAGTCAGGTAACTACTCAGGTAATTCAAGGGAGAAAGGACAGTCTGTAAAAACTGGTGCTGGAACAATTGGATATTCATCTGAAAAATAACAGACTTCAATGCCTACTTCACACGACATGCCTGCGGTCCTCACACTTTTGTATGCATCAGAATCACCTGGAGGGTTTCTGAAAATCCAGATTTCTGCCACCCATCCTGGAGTTTCTGATTCGGTTGGGGTTTTTAAAATTTTTTTTTAATGCTTATTTATTTTTGAGAGAGAGAGACAGAGCTTGAGGAGGGAAGAGGCAGAGAGAAAAGGAAACACAGAATCTGAAGCAGGCTCCAGGCTCTGAGCGGTCAGCACAGAGCCCGATGTGGGGCCTGAACTCACAAACTGTGAGATCGTGACCTGAGCTGAAGTTGGACGCTTAACTGACTGATTCAGTAGGTTCTGAGTGGGGAATTTTACGAATCTGCATTTCTATCTAGTTCCCGGGTGATGCTGATGCCGCTGGTCTAGGGAACACACTTTCAGAGCCACTGCCATACGGAAAAATCAACATGAAGTGATCACAGACCTACATGTAAGAACCAGGTGAAAACACCGGAGGGTCTTTTCTTCTCCTTGTCCTACACAGAAATGTGTCAGCAGCACCTAGAAAATACTAGCCATACATTTTTTTAAAACTTGGCAAGTTGGATTTCGCCAAAGTTAAAATGTTCTGTCCATCAAAAACAGCACTAAGAAAATGCATAGGCAAGTCACGAACTTGAGTAAACTCTTCTACGTACATCCATCTGACAGAGTACTCGTGTTCAGGATATGTGAAGACTTCCTATACGTCCGGAGCCAAAACATACACACACACACACACACACACACACACACACACACACACACACTAAAAAATGGGCAAAAGACTCGAACAGACAATTGATAAAATAAGGTATACAAATTTCCAATAAGCATATGAAAATGTGCTCAACATCATTTGTTATCCAGGAAATGAGAATTAAAACCACAACAGTACCTAGCTTCACACACACAGAATAGCTAAAAAGCAAAAACTGATGATGCCAAACGTTGACAAGTCTGAGGAGCACCTGGAACCCCCTCGTGCCCCCCACACTGTGCCGCTGGCAGTAGAATAAAGTAATACAATCGCTTTGGAAGTTGTTCAGCAGTTTCTTATTAAGTTCAATGCACACCTAGCACCAGACAATTTCACTCCCAAGTATGTACATAACTTGTGCACCAATGTTCACAGCAGTCTTGTCCATTACAGCCCCAAACTGGAAACAACCCAAATGTCCAGCAGCAAGTAAATGTGTGAGTGAATGTGGTTTATTTGTACAACGGAATATTACTGTGTTGTCAGCCTCCCCCCCCACCCCTGCTTGATACACCTAACAATGCCAGAACTTGCAAAGACATCCCCTTGAGAGAGAAGGTGGACACAAAACCTGCGGTTCTGCCACAGGTGAAGCCAGTGTGGGAGGCTGCGGGGGGTGGGGGGAGCACGTCAGAGCAGAGGCTGCCTGGGACGGTGCTGACCCCAGGGCCAGGGGAGACCGTCCTCGTCTCCTGGGTGCTTGCTACACGATGCACACAACCGTCACAACTCGCTGAACCGTGCACGGGCTCCCTGAGTGTAACTCACACTTCAGTGAAAGAAGGGGGAACTGGCGACCGACCGGAAGAGATGGGACAGAGCCTGAGACACTGAGGGAGGCCGAGCCGAGTCCCAGAGGAGGCAGGGGACATGCGGTCTGAATGCCGCCGGGGGCACAAGGCTGCCAGCACAGGGGCCCACGCGGGGCAACACGCTGGGACTAGAAGAAAGCAACCCCGCTCAGTGGCGCTCCCCGGAGCCCGTGCTGGGCCAGAGCCTGGTGTCCACAGAAGGTCCGAGGATGCCGCGTCGTGAACGAGCCCACGGCAAGTGGGGACGTGGTCCGGGAGGAGAGAAACGACACAAAGAGGGAAGCCGTGAAGCCCTTGACCCCCAAGCGTGTGGAAACCAGGGGCCAGGGGCAGGCCCTATGTAAGCGTCCTCTGCAGCTCCC